CTTTGTTGCTTCTTCCAACACTTAGTCTCCTCCTTCCCATTGACAGAAGCCATATTTTCATCATTTTTATACTACTCTGTAATAAAGATAAACAAGGCATTTTTAGATAAGTTGATACTACTTAAACCCATATGGTAAATGAAATAAGTCTGATGAAAATATTATATGGTTTGTCTTAGATGAGAAATTTAAAACGCCGAGAGAGAGAGAGAGAGAGAGAGAGAGAGAGAGAGAGAGAGAGAGAATACAGAAGACTGAATTCAGATTTCTAATTAACTGACCTACCAATGAACAATGGCCAGTTTCAATTGCTCCCTGTACTGCTGTTTAATAAACAGTGCCATGACCATTGATGCTTTCCAGGGCTGGTTTATATTCACCGCCCCACTACAGTATCAGTATATCATTTATAAAAATGTTGAAAACTAATACACAGTAATGAATTTTTGAGGACTTAACACTTCATCTGACTAAATAGTATAAGGACTTAATTGAAGAACTAAGGTTAATATGGAAACAAGAAGATTATGAGTATTTTAAAATACATGACTTTTGATGAAATGAAGCTGAATACTGAGACATTTTATGACATTTTAATTTGAAAACACTGGCTATAGATAGCAAGTATTTGTGGCATGCTAACCTTAAAGGAAAAGCCATTAGAATAGAGATATATTTTCTGGCCATTTATTATAATCTTACCATAACATTGCTCAAATTTTATAGAATATAATGAAGCATTTTATATGTGCACATTGTTACAAAACCTAGTATTGGATTTCAGTTAAGAAGTAAATATTTGTCAGGGCCGGCCAAATAGCCCAGCAGATTAAAGCTCCTGTAAGCAGGCCCAAGGCTTAGCCATTTGATCCCCTAGCCTGCTGGGCCAGCTCTGCCCCTGGGGCTTGCTGAGACAACAATTGAGACTGGGTATGGTGGTGCACGCGTGTAATCCCAGCTCTTGGGAGACTGTAAACAGGTGGATCAGTATGAGTCCAATCTAGTAGTGAGACCCTGAACACGCTGTAGATCCTTCCCTAAAATATAAAAAATAAGTAAATATATGTCTATCTATACAAATACACAGTTCAACCTCATATTTTAATGGCTATTACTGGATATCTATAAAATATTTTCACTTTTTAAATTCATTATATCCTCATTTCCTTCAAACTGCACAGCCCCTGAATTGAGTTTCCTTGTCAGCTAGTAGTGATGATTGAACAATGGATTCTGATTGTTTAGTGATAGACACAGTGCCACAAACCCTGTTCTCAGCTGCAAATGCCCAGGCTAAGCCTTCAAATCTACTGTGAGTCTCATTACCTATGGTAGCCATATCTAACCCTATTCTTTTGCTTCCTGTTTGAGATTCAACTGGTCATCTATATCAAGTTTTGGTAAAAAGCAAGTGGCCTGAGTGAATCCTTCCATGTGAATATGATGACAATAATTCAAAAACTTGACATTCTTCACCAGGGATATGGTCTCAGTATTCCAGTCTAAGCCCCAGCTTCTGGCCAGGACACTGGAAATCATAGCCCATTTCCAGTCTCTCTTGAAAAATAAAGCAGTGTTTCTGTTTGAATAGCTAGTGCTCAGGTGGTGGACCAAGGGGAAAGGTAACAGTATCACAGCAGAGATGAACTTGATGAATGTCCTTCCTTCTTGACTTTGCATCCAGAGTGACTATCATATTAGCCACAATGTCAGTACTAAAAATAAATACAGAACATTTGATAGAAACCCCTGAATTGCTTGTGTATATCTACTTTTTAAAAGTATTTCCTGTGGTGTATGATGTTCTTTTCCTAATTAGGCTCTAGTCCCTTTTAGTAAAATTTACTCTTATTCCTTCCACCATCATATTTTTATTGATTTTTCTATATGAAGTTCAGTATAACTGTTTGGAAGAAATTGAGCATTATATGAAGTTAGAATTTCTGTGCTGTTTTTATTTCTATTTTGAATAAATGTCACTTTGCAACCTTTAATATTCATTTATCCAATTTGCCTTAGTATGCAATTTTTGTTGTTTAAGAGGCCTTTACTTAGAAGAAAGGTTGATCTTTAAAAATTAGATATAAAATGTAGATCAGGGATTCCCAACAAGCAACCTACTCACAAGGTCAAAACCACTCTACCACCTGCTTTTGTAGATGATGATTTTTTGCAATACAACTGATTTTTAATTTACTTACTGTCTATGGATATTTTCACATTACATGCAGAGCTGAGTATACACAATAGATATGGTGACTCAGAAAATGGAAAATATTTATTTTTATGGCTTCGATAGAGAAAATCTAATGAATTTTATCATTCTTCATAAGGCATAAACAGCTATGTATTTTATCTCTTATTTAAGGATATTTGAAACGTAGGAGAGTGACAAAATTAATTCCTGCTTGATTTTTGTTTGCAAAGGAAAATAGACATTTGTGTGGCATTAAGTTCTGTGAAAGAGCTTATTAAGAAAACAATCCATTGCAGTTTTAAGATATTTTTATATGAGTAACACAATGCTACAAGCATTATTATATTTAGTTTTATCTTGATTCAAATAGTCAATACTTAAAAATTCTTATTTATGGAAGACAGTTTGGCAAAGTTGTCAAACAGTAATAATCATTTCATAAAAGTAATGGTCCAATCAGAAAGTATCCAGCACAGGCTCTTTTAATCAGGATCTCTAAGATTTTCACTTATAGATTGATTTTATTCTTTCCTTTGAACTTAATCACTTTGATATATTTAAGCCTTGATGTATTTTTATTCAGAAATGTCAACTTACACACAAGTTTCCAAAAGGATTTCCATCATGTTAAATAATATGGTATGTATAAACTTTTCCAAAGAAATTTAGAGACTTCCAAGTGTAAGAATTATTTTGTTGACTTTTTAATTCAAAACTACATGCTGATAAGGAATAAAAACCATAGTATAACTATAATTTTAACTTCTACTTGAAAGCCAGTTATACTTTTGTTTGAAGTTATATAGCTTTGATACAAATAGATGGCATAAAAATGCTCTCTACTGTCTTGTGTTTCATCTTTATATTTTAAGAAGTGTAAATTTGTTCTATTTTCCCCTTATTTATTTGTTTCCTGATTGCTATGCAGTTTCTAGTTGAGTGCCCATGAATCAAGCCGAATTTCTCAGGAAGAGAGGAAGTGGGAAAGGGTACAAGGCAGTAGTATTCAAGTATACATAAATAAAGAAAATCTTGAAGGTTTTTTTTGATAATTCTTTATCTAACTGCAGCAAAAATTAGTTTGGAAGCTTTCAAGAGGGATAACTTTTGAGGGAAGCATCAAAATATCATGAATCCTGAACTTTGGATACAATAGACTGCAATTTAATGATAGTAATGATGTGGGGTTCTTCTACATTTCTGATGGAAGTGTTAACTACTACTGCCCCCATGGTAATGAGCATGGAGATTCCTGAGAAAACTCAAGCTAGAAATTCCAATTTGACCCAGCTGTACATCTCCTGGATCTCTTCCCAAAAGAGTTAAAGTTATTATACTACAGTGATACATGCAGGTCCATGGCTATAGCAGTGCAATTCACAATAGATCAATTATGGAAGCTGACTAGATGATGAATGGATAAGAATATATTACACATACCACACACACACACACACACACACACACACACACACACACACGTAACTCAGCCATAAAGGAGGATAAGTTTCAGTCATTTGTAGGAAAATGTGTGGATTTTGAAGCTGTAATGTTAACTGAAATATATGAGGCAAAAAAGGGTAAAATATTGCATGGTTTCTATTATATGAGAAACTGAAAATATAATTTTAAAAACCAAAATAAATTGAAGATGAGAAAAGTGACCTGGGGGAAAGAGGAAAGAAAAAGAGCTAAAGAAATGATCAAGATTAGGCTAGTTTTCTATCATATTATGATCACATCTTTATTGTATAGAAAAATCAACTGAGTTCATTGAAGTTTCCTTTTTACTGTGTGTGATACAGTTTTGGCATGTCCCATGTACAGAGACTTCCACATAGCAAATGGTCAATATAGGCTTACTTTTTTTATATAATTGAAGAGGGTGAACAGCCATGTAGAATACATTTTGGCTCTCTGTGAATACTTAATGTCAGAAACAATTCTTGTGATTGCAAATATAGCAGTGAAATGGTAACAAAATGAAAGCGAGGAAGAAAAAATGAGCAACAACAAATCCCTCTGACACTAATTGGCTAGAGGATTGTTTTTGTAGTGGAGGGAAGAAAAATCAAAACTGGGAGAATTTTCATGAGGTGAAGGAATGCTTTCCAAGAAAGAACAGAAATAAAATGAGTCTACTATGTACTGCCACACATAGCAACAAGGATGGATTTCAGAGACTTAAAAGTCAGAAACTAGTTCATATTGTTTTTGAAGAGGCAAAACTAAACTAATCTATAGTAGTGGTTATGTGTTACTAGTAGCTCATGTGAGTGAGTAGTTATTGATCAGAAGGGGCACAAAGGAGGTTTCTGTTGATGGAACTATATCTGAAATCTTAATTCAAATTGTGATTACATTGATGTGTAAATTCATAATATATATATATAAATTACATACTAATTTTATATAATACTCATATATAAATTCATATTTGTTCTTTTCTCTATTTAAGATTTGTGAATTTTATAGTTCCAGAAAAATTTAAATCATAACAATATTGAAAATAGGACACAAAGGGGGACACTTGATTTGGCATGAATGCTTAATAGACTGCTTGGAAGAAAAGCATGGTGAGCCTCCTTGTCTCAAAACTCTGCTGAGTTTAACATAGGAGCCATTTCTGAATAAGAACATTAATATTAATTCTTGTTGCAAAACTTCATTCCTCAAAGGGTGTTTAGCATGCATTCAAATCACATCTACTGAGCTGTAGCAAGGTAAAAGCTGCCAGCATAGTTCTGTTGATTCTTTGAGGATTTACTGCTCAAAAGCAATGCTTTTGTTTTTTTCTTTCTAGATTGGCAGATTGCTACTCTGGCCTTACTCTTGGGTGGTGCAGCCATCATTCTCATTGCATTCCTGGTGGGTTTGATTTCTATCTGCGTGGGATCTCGAAGGCGCTTCTACAGACCTGTTGCTGTAATGCTTTTTGCAGCAGGTAAATATATTCATTAATTTCAAATCAATATTAAAGTTTCATGACACTTTGCCCCATCTTCCCTCCTCATGCAGAGGTAGTATGTGTTTAGTACATTACATAAAAATTGAGAGGCATTTCTTATATTTTAAGATAAGTTAGTTGAAGTTTCTTTCATAATATCAGCTTTCAAACTGTTAAGCATTTCATAGAACTCAGTGGCAACTTCCAGATTTCTACTCAAAATGTGAATAAATAATAGTTCTTTTCTATTTTTTAAATTATTTTTATTTATAATAAATAACAGTTCTTCACAGGCTTATCACCTTAGGAATTGCAGCAGGTGTATTTACCCATGGACTTTTTATGGGTTATTTTTCCCCCTTTCTACTGCCCCTTTGGTGATCTCAAGGCAACATCATTTTCTCTGACATGAAACTGGAAAAAATTCCAAAACGTCTACCCTTAAGGGCATATATCTCTTTGAAAATAAAGAAAGTTATGCTGAAAAATCATGACATGTATGCCAAACCATCAGACAAGTTAATTGTTTCAGGTCAGTTGTACATTTATTAATGTAACAACTATCATTCAGTGAAGCATAGCTTGAACCGAAGTATCAACCAGGCTAAACTAGAACACAAAGAGCTATGTAGAAAAAAAAAAGCTGGTGGATGAAAGGCCCGGTACATTACCTGACATGAGTTTTAATTTTAATTTGTAAAAGTATCCTTGAATATATTATTCTTTTCTATTTAAATTGAAATATTCTTGGGGTGCCTTTAATTTACTGTCAGTCATATCTGACTTGAAAGCTGCAAAATAAGACCCTGTGACTGTCAATAATAAAGACACTGACAGAGCTATCTAGGCTGTTAGATGGATTTTTAAAAGCTTTTTGCAGGTTGAAATAGATGAAATTTCTTAGGATTTAAGGGATAGTTTGAAATAAAAATATGAAATCCAAAGCATTCTGCTGCCCCCTGCTGTTTATGTTCAGCTACTTCTACCCATGAAGACTGGTCAGAACATAGGTGTCATAAAAACAAAGTTCCGAAGTACTTAAGGAATCCAGAAGTACATCTAATTCAGATTTGAATGACTTGTTCAAGATCATATAGTGGTTATTGGCAGAGGTTAGGAGATGAGTAAATCTTAAACTGTCTTAAACTAGTGATTTATTCATTATTCACTTCCTGGAACATTCATTCAACTATTACTTGAGTGCTTATTGTGAACTAAATTTTGTCTTAAGATGCTTATAAAACCGACTAAATTATTTTAGTCAGTTACTTTCACCAATACTTTCAAATAAGTTAGGGTGCATGATTACAGAAAATACTTTGAAGGCTTACAAAGTGACCACATTATCATTATTTTATTACTCTCAGGTGTAATAAAAGTCTCTGTTCTGAATGACTTAGTGTAACATGAAGTGTCCTCTAAAGATTCATCATTAATTCTGTAGTTTATTCTTTGTTGAGTGATTTATGGCATCTATTTTTCCATTTTGGAACGAGATAATTTAGATATTTCAATTGCAGTATAAGTTCATTGCAGCTAGTATTTATTAATGTCATAATTAGATAATATGTTGTAATAGTATTTCTTCATAAATTATTCCGAATGATGTATGAGCCTTTAAAATTGAAGTCCAGCTTCAAGTAATTATTAGAATACCTAGACAATTTTCATTTAGAGTGGTATTAGAGATATTTAATCATTAATTATAAATACTTAACTTTATTGTGCATATCTAGTTTCTATTCCATTTAGACTTTACTGAATAATGGTAAATGTGGAATCTATAAATTCATTGTTGATACTATCTATTATAAACATGCTTGGAAACTGGAAGTTTCTACTTTTCCTTTAAAAATTTGTTTTTTGTTTTTTTGTGGAACCGGGGATTGAACTCAGGCCCTTGCGCTTGCCAGAGAAGCGCTTATTCCACTGAGCCATCTCCCCAGCCCCTAAAAATCTGTATTTTTCCAAGTGTAGAAAAATTTGTGAAATTAGGTATGAGTTACAATAGAAAATGCACTTTAAATGAGCATAAATTAAAAGTAATCAATTTGGCCAGCGTAAAAAAAAAATAAGGTTTTGATTTAGCTTTGGATGCAACATACATTGGTAAATAATAGATTACTGAAATCACTGAAGAAAAATTGATATATTGTTGTACCAAATGAGACCTAAAATCAACATTATGCTGCTGCATTTTAAAAATGTACATGGGCTGAGATTTAATTTTATTCATTCTCATTTGATACTGTTATCATGAATTTTTTTTTAGTTTAGTGTCTTTTTTAAGCAAGATAGAAAATTCACTGTTATTTATAACATGTTATGAAAAAAATTTCTCCCATTTGTAACAGTCATGAAACAGTTGCCTATATTTGATTCTTGGAAATGATATTAATCACACACAATAATTTCTTATTGATTTGAACTTACTAATAGAAAAGTTGGAAAATAGTACTATTGGAATCATACTAGCTATTTATTCTTTGTTTTGCTTAGCTCTTAGTACCTATCCAAACAGTTGGTTTGTCTCACCTTTAGTTCAGCTTAGTGATCTTTTTTAAATGCATATTTGGGGCTAATTCTTACCTTTTACTTATATATTGTTTTACTTGAAAATGTTTGTATGGGACTGGGGAGATAGCTCAGTAGAATAAATGCTTGCCTGGCAAGTGCAAGGTCCTGAGTTCAATCCATGGTACAAAAAAAAAAAAAAAAAGTTAACATTTCTCTTGTGTTCTCAAGATATTTTTGTAAGATAATATTAATTTTGTGTCAATAGTTGATACATTGGTGCTTACATGCATAGAGAATATTTTTTATTAGCAGAATATATTTATTGAGGGAAAGAAAGCTTCTGTCCAAGAGAATAACAGAAGGGGGGCCCAAGTAGGTTGTCCCCCAAGAATATTTATCTTAACAAAGAAATGTTCTTTTGTTTCTTCTGCTGAGACATGCAGCACATAAATTCAAATCAGGCAGCACTACTGCTTGGAAACATCTCTATCCAGACCTTTGTAGTTGCTTAATTCAGTACCATGTACTGCACTAGATACTCATAGGCATTCAATAAATAGTTTTTGAATGAATGAGGGAAAGATGAATAAAGCAAGTGTTTTACAATTTGGTGGGGAATAACAACCATGTAAACAATTATTATTCCTCTTTTAAAAATCATTTCTCTTTTCAGACCTTTTGAATCAGCATGTTTTACATAAGCACATAGCTAGGATCAAAACAGTTAAAATAATGGTTATCAAAAAGGTTTTTTTTTAATTTTTAATATTTTATTTATTTATGTAACAAATTTCAGGCACCGCTGCCATGCAAGTACACACTAATGAAGATATTAGATAAGAATTTCTAAGGGTTTTAACAAAAACTGAAGACTAAATACATGAAGACAGCTAGAGAGAATTTGAAGACTTTGTATTCCCTTTTGTTTGAAATGTTTTATTTGGGTTGGGCTTGTTAACTGCTTTAACACTGCTAGCAGAGCTAAGAGCTCAACCATCGTTACAAACCATATAACCCATTGTCCCATTTTTTTACATCTCTTTTACTCACCAGTCCTGGAAGTTAAGATCTCAGAATCAAACTTCATCTATAATAAAAATAAAACAATAATAATTTAGCACCTACCATATGCCACAGTGTGGGACACTGAAGCATAAACTATTTCTGGTAAAACAATCTTAAAATTACTGTCTCAATGAAGAAAACAGGCTCAAGGGCTGGGAAGATAGCTCAGTAGAATAAACGCTTTCCTGGCAAGCTCTAGGTCCTCAGTCCAATTCCCGGTACGGAAAAAAAAAAAAAGAAAAGAAAAAGAAAAGAAAAGAAAAAAAAGAAAGAAAGAAAGAAAGAAAGAAAGAGAGAGAGAGAGAAGAAAACAAAAGAAAAGAAAAGAGGCTCAGATAGGTTAAGTAATTTCCCAGCATTTTCCAACTAATACTTCTGGTAGCTATGATTCAAATTGGATCAACTAGTTGACTTGAAAGTCTGAGTGAACATTCATAAGTCATCTTTCCTTGGGTGTATATAACATGTGGAAAAACCAGAGAAGTGTCAGCTTTGATTTTGAATTCACCTACCAACTGTGTACTACAGTAAGAATACATCCTGTAACTCAGTGCTCCATCTCAGGAGCCAACACCTGAAGGAAATCAACATCTTTGACATCATAAAATCCACAAACTGATCAGTGGAGCATGACTGAGTCATAGTATACAATGAAAACTGTATGTCTCCAGTGTAATTTTCTACAGCACATTTCTTTTTGTGTCACTGGCAGTGACAAATAAGATGTGATGTGATTCTGATAAATGGCTCTCTATTCTCTTCACTAAGGACTTGGTGAAATTAGATGGATTTTTTCCTTCTTGTTTTTCTTCTTTTACTGTCTAGTTTTGAATTGGCGGCAGAACTTTTAATACTCTGCAGGCATATAGGATGAGTTTTTCATTTCTTCTCCCAAGGCCTTTAATGTAAATTACAGAAAATTATAAGTTTTCTAATTTAAATTTTATTAACATAGTCTTCCTTTATTATATAGCATTGACAAAGATCATTCCATTTTGTTATACCTGTGAAATCCTCCTATAGGTATGTAGGTGGAATAGTGATTTTTTTAAGTGCCTCCAATGTATTTCAAGTTCTTAATTTTGTTATATGAAAGGCTTGTATTTTGCACACATTGTTACCATCCTGTGAGATGGCCAGAGCCATTTGGAGTCTAGATTTTGGGAGAAAAAAGAATGGTGTCTGTCTTAGATTTCAAACTTTAAGTGAAGAGCTCTACTCACAGATTCGTAGATTTCATATTATTCCCCAAATACAAATATTAAAATATAGTTTGACTGGTATAATTTACAGTATCATTGCCCACTAATTAAGTTCATACTACTACTTTTAATAATTATAAAAAGTTGTTGGCTTCATTATTAATTATTTATGATCAAGTGTTTTTATTTTCTTAATTATTTTCTTTATGGGAA